TATATATATATATATATATGTATATATGTATATATGTATATATGTATATATGTATATATGTATATATATATATATATATATATATATATATATATATATATATATATATATATATATATATATATATATATATATAAATATAAATATATATATATATATATATATATATATATATATATATATATATATATATATATATATATATATATATAATGTTTACACATACACATATACACACGTTTACATACAACATGCATTCACACGTACATATACACACATGCTTTTACACATAAAATATGTGTGTACATATGTATGTATATATGTATGTATGTATGTGTATATGTATGTGAGTTTGTGTATGTGTGCTTGTGTGTGTGTGTATCTGTGCTTGTGTATGTATGTGTGCTTGTGTGTGGATATGTATGCTTGTGTGTGGATATGTCTGCTTGTGTGTGTTTATGTGTGCTTGTGTGTGTATATGTGTGCTTGTGTGTATATTTATGTGCTTGTGTGTGTGTATATATGTGTTCTTGTGTGTGTGCATATGTGTGCTTGTGTATGTGTATGTGTATGTGCTTGTCTATGTATGTGTGCTTGTGTGTGGGGTGTGCACATCTCACTGGATGCATACTTATGGTTGAAAATGAAAAAAATCACACATTCTGATGCTGATCTATATGAAACCCACCTACGTCCACAGAAACATTTTCTTTTTCTTATCTTCCATTTCCTTCGCTATGGGATTAAAGCTGGAGGGAATCTTTCAAAAGGTATTTCAAATCTATCTGACATACCCAGAAACATATGGCAATGCACCTTATTAACCCAATGCCGCTGGGGAAAATTAACAAAAAATGGGGAAAATGCTGTGCCCACTTTCTATGTTTCTCATGAAATGTCTACCGATAGATGGCTCTGCTAGCGGCTGACTTGAAATGGCGGGAAAAACGTATTTTTCACTAGTGCTATGAATATCGATGGTGTTATTTTTAGCATAAAAATTATGATTTTTATAATGTTTTTTAAGATTAGTAACAGCAAAATAAGATAACGTAAAATATTTCATAAATCAAAGAAACGGGTAAACGGGCGAGACGGGCGGTGCTCGTAACTGGCTCATTGAGGAGTTAGTACAAGTGTTGCCATCTATGCATAAAAACAATCAAACATTTACTCATGGTGGGCATAGCACATACGTACACGTCATACCTGGCACCAATGGGTTAACCAAATTTTTCTTATTTTGACTTGAGTGATGTACCCAAAGCTAATACTATGCTTGGGTGACACTTCCCTAATCATGAAATGTGTAAATAGTAAAGAATAAGTTTAATGACATAAAGAAATAGAAAAAAAAAGAAAGAAAGAAAAAATCAGAAAAGAAGAGAGAAAGACTAAGAGAGGCAGTTGACACAGAAATATTTTAAAAAGAAGAAGAAGAAGAAGAAGAAGAAAAAGAAAGGTTTAGAATATTTGATTTATGAGCTCAGAATTCAAAAGTCCAAAGGTTTAGTTGCAAGTCTCATAACATACTACCCTAAACAAAATGAAACAGGTAGAAAACAGTACAGAAAAGTAAAGAAGAATAATTAAAGAATTTTCCTTAACCCACTCATGCAGGGTTGGCATTTATTCATATGCCATGTTCACTATGATTTTAATATAAGAATTTCATTTAAAACATAAATGGCTCCACAAGGAGTCAAATACTAATCCTATCATATCTCACATGTTAACCCTTTTATTCTATTTTCAAAAACAAATTTTTTATTCTTTTTAAAATTACAAACATTATTGTTAACTTCATCATAACAATAACAACACCAAACTTAAAAAGTCCCCTGAAAATTCAAGAAATGCGGAAATCAGGTGAGGTAACATATGGCCTACTAACTGACTTCTTGGTAACTGAACACTTGTGGAGCCATCTGTGTGCAACCAATATTCACAAAACTAATCTACAACGCACAGTACGTGTAACCTGCGGTGCTGGGTTAATTTCAAAGGTTATTAAAATTAAATGAACTCTCGAGACTGGCCAATGGGAACAAAAAAGGAAGGGGAAATCTTAATGCAATGTTAAGAGACTGGACGGACAAAAAGATACATAAGAGATACTCTAAAGACAGATAAAAGACATACAAAAAATGAGGAGACATAATGATAAAAAAAATCTACACCAAAATATTGAAGTAGAAAAGGAGAAAATATTAATAATGTTAATTGGATGGTTGTTAGTCTGGGCCATTTCTCTGATTAATTCTTACTCTCTTTATTGATATCTACAAAGGGAATACAACATATATCAACAAAGACCGTGTTAGGTGTCCCTGTTAAGTGTTGAAGGAAAGAGAGCTTATGTTAGGGCTACAAGTACATATCAACTAGAGGAAAATGAATAAACAAAGCACTATATAAAATTAATAATGATAATTAAAAAAAAAGAAAGAAAATACATATGTCATGCTTTATGGAACAATGAATTTCATGCACTAAAGTGAGAACCGAGTGGATTGCTTCTTTAAAACATCAATAATTAAATTCAAAGGAAAAAAAAAAAAAAAATTGTACTCCTGGAATTCATTAACAGCATCCCTCACATTAAGTACCAAATATATGCAAGAATTAAATTCATATCAATAAATTAAACCTTAATCTGAATTCTAAATACAAGTTCTACATATTCCTTTTCATAAAAGTACCAAAAAATATATCTTACTAAATATTAACCTTAGTAATCATGATGCGTTAAAACTATCCCTAAAATTGTAACCCATAGTAACCAGTATCCCTTTTTTCAAATCTATGTGAAGTATCACCAAGTTGGAAAATACAACATAATTGAGGAAATATCTCTTTTTATCTAATCTTTCCTTTGCCATATCTGTGTGCAAACCTCCTTGATTTCCAATAAAACAATAAATATGAGCTTAGGTTGCAACAACATGTAAATATTTCTTTGTAAACCATGACAACTATCTAATTCCCTTTGAAAGAAGAGATAAGAAAACATCCGATAAAAAAAAAAAAATTACAATGAAAGTAAAAGAAAAATTATCCCAATTTTCCTTGCATTTCTTTCTGAATTGTGTTCAGTAGACTTACACACACACAAAGAAAATAAACATACAAAATCTCAAATCCTTACAAAGAATCATGCATTAAAAAATTTAGAAAAAAAAAAAAAAAAATGAAGCATGAAAAAAAAGAAAAAAAGAAAAAAAGTACAATGATAAAAAGTTAGGACACCATAGAGAAAAAAAAGATAAAAAATTCGGCCAGATGTCACACCCACCTGGAATTCATCGTAGGCCATGGTGTTGCATTCCTCACACACCAGGTGGCTGCACTGGACCTTGATGGCAGATTCGTATCCGCGGGATTCTTGGACCACTTGTAGACGACTCAGCTTAAACGTCACTACGGATATCTGTTGAGCAATGAGGAGAGGGTTTACATTATGAGAATTATCCCTTGTGCGTAAGTATGATGAAAAAGAAACATTAGAAAATATTAAGCAATGAAGAATACTGGTCACCCATACAAACAATCAGACATACAAACATACAAACAAACACTCAAACACACACACACACACACACACACACACACACACACACACACACACACACACACACACACACTGGTCAATGTACAGGTTACTCATGAGACCATTTTCAAGGGACCTGATTTTCACAAGCAAACTCATACATGCTTGTCTGCTATAAGCTGAGTTGTCACTAAAGAAAATATTCACGGCTTTCATATTGTTAGTGACAGTCATAATCATAAAAACTGAATTCTATTAAAAGAAATAAATGTTTTCTGCATGTCCTTTCAGGTCTAACTTCTGAACATTGATCTACCATTATTCTTCTGATTATCTAAGGGCACTATAAAAAACATGAGTTTCCTATACAGAACATTTAGGACTTTACAAACCCTATATTAGAAATACAAGGTCAATAGATCCTATACATAACAGGTCCCTTGAACTTTGCTATGTATGTAGGTGTATGTCTTTGTGTCTGTATCTACATCTATGTGAATCTAATGGTGTATATGTTCATGAGCCTATGGTTATGCATGCTTGCATATATGTTTGTGTGAGTGTGGTTATCAAATGCATACAGTTACTTGTTCTGATATAAATTGTGTGTATGATATAATAAATACAATACTATAATGGGTGTAGAACATACTAAATATGAAAAGAAACAATTAACATCATAGTTTCACTGAGGAGAGGGAAGCATGCTCTGAGTCAGACCTAAAGAAAGCAATTGTCCAGTTGAAGGTTTGGTATATTTAGAACTGGATAACATTTATTTTAGTTTCATTCACAGTTGGTGATCTCAATCCTTTGTATCTTTGGAGAGAGTTAGGACCAAACAAGTTTCATATTGTGTTCGTAGCTATGTTGGCATTTTAATCTAACAGCAACTGATAATATTAAGGAACTCAAATCTGGGGTTGCCAACTGCTTAAGAAATTTTGGTTCACCTGCACCAAATTTCAAATTTATCAAAAATGGGAATGATGTCTATACAAACCTTTGCATAGCTGTCTTCACTTCATATATGACATCCACAAGAACAAAGAAATCTTTCCCTTCCTCATGGCTCTACTTCATTCCATTACATGCTCAATTGGAAGACTCTTTGTCATCATAATCATATACCAATAAATGCTATGGCCCAGGGGTCAGGCTGTATATTAAGAACCCATCAGAAAGGGAGAATTCTTACTGATTCTTCCACAAGACAAACTCATTCCTAACCTTTCCTTGTCAGTGTCAAAGATCCCTTCCTAATGTACAGGAAACATAGGAACTGAACTGTGTAAAAGACTGAAGGATAATGCTGAAGGACAGGTGTACTTACATCTAAAGCCAGTAGACAAAAGTGGCATCAACTGAGTGCTGGATAGTTGCACCGAGGGGGATGAGAGCTTGATAATAAACCTAATTCATTACAGTTATACCAGTCCATTAACATATAGCAATAACATATGAATTAACCACCAATCTGTACTAATATGTTTTTTTTTAAATAGTTATATTGCCTGATAGTAATCACTTAATATATTACTAAGTCAAAGTACTCTGTATCTTTTGAAAAAAATCTTTGTGGTTTGAAATTTATCTTTCCTTCTTAATATGACACAGCAACTAATATCATACATCTTAAACAATATTATATGCACTAATGCAACTGAAATTAGCATTTGGGTCAAGTGCATTTATTTAGAGTTGATTTTAAAATTTAACTTTTCCGATATATACACCAGGTGGTATCTGGGTACAACCTGTACTCAGAAATAACCTTCGTAAATACAATATAAAAGAATAACAGTAAAAACAATGGCATAAGAATGCTTACCTCCCATGGAATGTTGTTGTGCCTCATTTTGCTTTATAATACATTAACTAAAAGAAGTTCTACAACTATCAGTTCATTTTTCTTTAATGATCCTATTTCACATGATGAACAAGAAATTCAAATTCATTAATTAAATAATTGGTTATTCTAAAAACATTATAACACAAGAACCTACACAAAACATCTATTCAGTGTAATTTCCTTTCCAAAATAACACAATACTGAGGGGAAGGTAGGTATGGTGTCTCTCCTTCCACACTCTGAATGAAAAGGTCATTTTGATGAAAAAAAAAACATATGATTTTAAGGAAAAACAGCAATCAATTCAGGACTCTGAGTAATTTCTCTTGCTGCATCTGCGGTTTCTTCTCCTTTCTTTTTTTTACTAAGGATCCAGGAAGGGGGCTATAAAAAGGTTATGTGGGGAACACTTTAGCTTGTACTTTGATGCTATGTTCATTAAATTTTTTGTTGTTTCATTTTCCCTCAACTCAAAATGCTGCTGGGTTTGGACTTTTGGCAAGACAATGCTGACCTTTCCATTTCTGTACAAAGTTTTACCACATCCTGGTATGGACATGGTTAAACTGCACACCTGCCACCTCTAAATTGGAAAGATATGACTATGACATTTTAAGCAGTTTTCTCTTTATCCATATGTGTGACATTTTAAGTGTTACAATGCTGCTAGACTTGATACACTGGCTTCTTTTTATTATCTATAAATATTAGGCTTCACCCCCTTGTGGGAGGTCATTCACTATATAAAAAAAAAGCCTCTTCTAATATTGAACAATTTTTTTATGGAATCTAATTAAGTCCTTCCAGCTATTTTTTATCTCCCTAACTATATTTGGTTACTCTAAGATACAAAAAGACCCAAAATTTCCCTTCGGATTTGTTTTGAAAATTTGTTTACCACTTCTTGACAGAGCTTGTAAATATTGTACTCGAAAAAAAAAAAGAGAACCAAAAATTTCATTATTGTGTCTAAAGAACTGAAAGTTGCCTTATCAAATTCAGTACGCTTAAGTCTATGAGATAATAATAGCAAAAGGGAGCAAAAGATACTGTGAGTTTGAGAAGAAGGCTTTAGCACACAAGGGGATCTTATTCAAGAAGTGATGCACATGACAACAGTATCAATAAATATGTTTCCTACACTTTACTATATGCATCACACAAATGACACTTAATACATTTCTTACCATAAACTGGATATCATTCTAAAACATAACCTATTTCTCCCAACCCTTGTTGTAAAACATTTACATGTTTGGGGTTCTTTAAAATTAAAATAAAACCCATATGAAATACAGTGATTCCCTTATCACTAAGTAGTAGGCTAAGTGGCCAATGGACCAACAGGTGATAACACCAGCTTCCCTAATGTCCTTCTTTACAAAGTTCTGATATCATTTTATTCACCCACATGCTGTGCAAAGATGCTGTTTGCATTGAAAGTAGGTCTTTCATACTAGCACTTTTATAGGAGCCATTTCTACAAATATATTTCTAAAGCTTTGCATAAGCTGCACCACTGGGTCTATAAAAGTTCAAAGGAAAACACTGCATAGTACATCTGGACAAAACTTTGAAGACTATTACCATTTCACATTTACTTTTGCACTCTGTCAATCTAAATCAGATGACAGGAATGAGAGGAACCATTTGTGAGGAAGAGAATAGATTTCAGCTCTCATCTGTTCTACAGAACTAACAACTAGTAAACAAAGGAATGCACCTTGAATCATTAGCAATTTGTAAGCATCAACTGTCATATATGTGATGAACTAAGCATATAGAAACCTGCTTCTCAATCACAATCTCACCTTAGCTTATCTTTTTTTTATTCAACCCTTAATGAGTAAATGCACAAAAATCTCATTTTACCCTGTCATCTTAAAATTTGCATACTATCTTCTTTTTCTTTAGTTTACAAAACAAGGTGTTTCAAGAAAGAAAGTTTCGAGACCTTTCTCATGTGAATGTATAAAGAACTCCTTGGTCACCCTCTGTGTGATGGCTGTTCTGTGTGGGTTCAGTGAGAATTAGTTAATTTCAGATATAACATGATATATTATAATCAAAAGTGATGGTTGAACTATCCAGGAAAGGACTGATAATACCTTAAATGTACTTTTAGTAATCTATTCTATATTAAGAGTATTAACACTAAAGAGATGTCACAGGAATTTCAGGATCTGGTATTTTTCACTCCCACTCCAGTTTTCATCCTGAACATCCTGAACTCATTAAGGGTCAAATCAAAATGCTCATCAAAAGACAACACAAAGCCAATACTAAATGTGGAAAAAAACATAAAAATAATGGTTGAGATTCAGTTTGCTTAAGTGTCTTACTGTGTTAGGCATTTTAAGGTTATGCTTTACTTACTGTATCTTTTCTTCTGAAGGAGCTGGTGACATCAGATACTTCACTAGGTGTGGCCTCTTCAAAAACTTCTGATGCAAGCTCTATGGAAGACGGAGGTGGCTTGTTTTCCACCCGAAAAGCGGCGTCCATTCCCCCCAGTCCACTGTCAGTGCGCTCTGATTCCATGTTAACCATGATGAAGTTGTCGCTGTCGGAACTCAGGTCACTACGAACTGAAAGGGTGTCACTCATGTCTTCGGGGCTGGTTTTCACTGCCGACTCAATGGTGGACATAAGATTGGTAAAGCCACTAGTTATTCCCTTTCGCATTGTACTAAAGCCTGCATTAAGGTTGTCATGGAGACTTAGCTGCATGACAGGGCCGTTGATGCTGGAAGGGTCGGAGTCCATAGCATGGCTGGCGTTTACACTACGGGGAAGGTTGGTCAAGCTACTTGAGAGGGTTCTAGTAGCTCCCTGTCTAAGAGTGGATGACGACGGCGAGGATTGCTTACCTGTGGCGGCAGGAGAGTGCTGACTGACCGGCGGCTGACTTATGCTACCATTGGCGGTGGCGGGAGGCTGCTTTGTGACGGAAGTAGTGGCCGGTGATGGCTGCGGTGAGGCTAACTGATCAACACTGTATGACTTAGTGATATCACTAGATATGGAACAAGCATCGGCTTCACTGGCCCTTTGGACTATACTATGCTCTGATGCTGAGTTCCGTACCTCGCAGCTAGGAGAACCTAAATCGTGAAGGTCGGCTGTGGAAGAGGAATCGGGGAGGAAGCTCTCCATATCTCCGGCCACAGAATCTTTGTTTGGATGTGGGGGGGGCATCACCAGCGAGACGTCTAGCTGAGGCACCATGGCCGAAATGGCCAGTGTGTCCCCGAGGTTGTCTGCAGAAAGGGCCACTCCGGCCATATCAGGGTGCGTCAGGATATGGATGGTATCAGAGGTAAGGTAGGTCGTGAGTTCCGTGACCACATCTAACTGTCGCATGAGAAACAGGTACTGGTAGTGGTTGAGTTGGGCACTGACTAGACTTGGTGTGTGAGCAAGTATGTGTATGGCAGCCTCCTGCCGACTCCTCTTTCCCTGCATCTCCCCTTCATCCCTCAGAAATGGCACTTGCTTATTTCCATCCCAGTCATGCGCCTCCTTGCTTTGCTCCTGACAGTAAAAATTTCTTAGTAAGTCTCTGTGTGGTCTAACATCTTGATCTTCACAGGGCTTGACACCAGACACTTTCTGATCACTCACTGGCTTAGGCTTTGGCTTGATGTAAATCCAGAGCGACACTGGAAATGCATCCACAAATGGAACAGGTCTATTTCGAGCAGCAGGCACATTGAGAAACTCTACCCACATGGGATCACAGTACACAAAGAGGACATCCCTCGCTTGAGTCCAGAGTGCATCGCGTTTCATGTTTGATATAGCATCGTATAACGAAGCGTCGACCGAGGGAAGACTTCTCACATTATCTTCAGCTGTGGAAGTAAACTAACATTGTAACATTTGTCTCTACAATAATGCTCTGTAATCAGTCACAACTTTACACTTACATGTTATAAATGGCAGTGTTCTACAAAATCTATAATCATTTTCATTGTCCATTATCAATTCTCAAGTCCTTAATGCTATGCCTATGGCTATCAAACAGCAAAAACATATATTAGGAGTAAGCACATCACTGAAGCCTTCTATGTACAGGTGAGGCTTGTACTAACTATTCTACCTGAAAATAAAAGAAAACTGCAAAATAATCAGTGTGGAGAAAATCATTATATACAGTTTTGGTTACTAATAAATTGATCTTTTTTACTACATGATACTCCTGCTTCAGCTCTGAAGCTGATAGCTGGCAAAATCAGACTGAAGCTAAACATTCTTAGTACCAAGCCAAAGACAGCATGTTAAAAGTAAATATGCCCCATTAACCTTCATGTCATTGCCATGCCATAACTACATATATTTACAGATATCTCTGAAAGGGAAAAAATAAAGAATGAAAAATGAGCAAGAAACTTTCCTTGACAGTCATTAGCATTCCAAATGCATAGACATTCATGAGGTACACCTAAACTCTCTATTCAAAATCAAGCTAGTCTTATACTGCAAGCTTGTTGGTTGCAATGGGTAACACAAAGCTAGAAATGGTTATCAAAACTTTCAAATCACATGGTTTCCTAAGAAGGCAAACTGCAGAGAACAACAGATTTACAGATCATACAGGCTTAACATGTACAAGAAAAGGATATAAATAAAGAAATGATGATTAGGGAGGAGAAAAATAATCTTCCAAAGAGCCTCTTTTACCTTACTGTTCCAAGAACTCTGTCTCTCTTTCTCTCTTTCAGCCCCCCCCCCCCTTTCCCCATCCTCACTGTTTCCCTTTTTTTCCCTTTCCCTTTAATCCTCTCATCCTCCCTCTCTGTCTCTCTCTCTCTGTCTCTCTGTCTCTCTCTGTCTCTCTCTCTCTCTCTCTTTCTTTTTCTTTCTCTCTCTCAAAATTAGATTTCTCCCTCTTATTTCTATCTTCTTCTTCCTTCTTCTCTCACTCTTTCTCTCCTTTTCCCCTTGCTCTTTCTCTCAATTTAGAGGAAATATAAGTATCATTTAGCATTCAAACTGACTCATATGTTTCAAGTCATAAAGAGAAATATCTGACAATTGCTACGATTTGTTCCCAGGACACATCTACAAGAGACACAGTATTTGGATCAGGGAAGGAGTAAGAGACAGAAGGATAAGGAGAATAAAGAGGGGGAATGATGAAGCAGGAAGAGCAATCATCTCACACAACACCACAAACACTTTTGACCTTCCAACACAAGAGGATGTGAGACATTATTTACCCATGGCATGCTTGACAAACTTGTCACAAATGGGCTGGAAGTCTGCTGGGCTGGCTGGAAAGTCTGAGGCAAAGAACAGTTCCCCTTGCTGAGCTGCTTCTAAGCTCGTCGCCAGGGATGCTAGTGAGCCCGGGCTGGTTGGGTCGGCAGGTCGCACATTTGAGAGGATCAGCCTCGAAGTCTGGATGTGCATGGCACGTGGACGGTCGCGCTGATTGGTCTGTTCCCCAACTCCGTCAATAATGACCTGGTTGGTGAGGGGAGGAAAAAATATGTGAATGGGCGAGTGTTCTAGCATCTGCAATATGCTTGTACATGAGGATAGATTTGAATTCATTTAAACAGTGATCACTTCTTTAGCTGAATATCAGAGGAAAACAATATAACAAAGAATTTAAGGGGCTAGCTGCAAGGTATACCTAATTTAAATCGCAGGAGTGCTTGCATATTTACACTGTCCACTGTGGTCTTGTTTGGTCAATTTTCTTTATACACAGATGGCTAGGAGTTACTTACTAGGCTTCCCTTATCTATTTACCCTATTCTTTGAATTTGTAGAAAGAAAAGCGTAGTATACTTGAGCTCAGTACCTCAAATGCATGTATATAATCCTATACAAACTGTAAAGTGGCTGCCCCAATGAAGAGTAACAAATTGGAAATCCTAAGCCAAAGTAAAAATCTTCATCAGGTAGTTTAGCCATGTATATGAAACCATCTAAAATTTTAAAAGGGTCCTGGTGTAAGCCACTCCCAATCTTGACATAAAAGTCTGATTAAAGTGGTGTTATATGGGAATCACCTGAGTTTATCTGATTTCTACATAACCAGTAAGAATGCTAAAGTACAGAGAAGAAGAAGAAGAAGAAGAAGAAGAGGAAGAAGAAGAAGAAGAAAAAGAAGAAGAAAAAAAATAAACTTTCTCTAATGCTCATATCCTGAGACCTCTATCAACATCTTCCATTACTGCCTCTTCTTTGCTTACAAGCCATCCTCTTCTGAAAACTGCAATCTGAGCACTCACCCGAGGCATTATAGCTTCCAGGTGTACGTCGAGGTAGGAACTAGGCGGTGGCTCTGTGACGATGGTGCGCTGGAGGCTTCTGGTGAAGGCATTGAGCCATAACAGGGATAAGGGGTCGAAGGTCACCTGTATGGGGTTGAGCTGTAGGTACAACTTGGGTGGTGGCACTAAGAGAGAGAAAGAGAGAGAGAAGAAATGGGGAAAAATGCAGGTTAGTACTATGAAGTCAATCTTTTCAATAATATCAAATAAGTTGTTGCATGTCATTATCAAACAAAGAAATAAACTGTATGTGCTGTTGTATAAGACTCACTGGCCTTTATTGAGAACCCTGTTTTATAAAGATACCCTCACAGGCTCTCTAAAGGCCTAAACTCTAAAGCTGCTTGTAAAGCAACCAAAAAATGTGTTGCATATGCCCATAAATATAAGACAAAGAAATGCAAAAAAGTTAGTGAGCAATTTACCTGGAAACTCTGAGTCAGCTGGGTAGTAGTATGACGTGAACTCAAGGTGGAGGCTGGCCATCTGGGTGGGCAGGTTGAACCTATCCTTGTCCCCTGGGGTTGCAAAACGTCAATCAGGAGAGAGTAAACACCGTAGGATTAACTACTTTAAATGCTTGCTACTGTACTCAACATGCACACTTCTTTTTTCCTTTCTCTCTCCTATTGCTACAATTTTACTTTATCTTGCTCTCTCTCATTTTCTCGGTCTATTTGTCCATCTCTAATCAAAACTTCCCTTCTCTGCCTTCATTCATGAAGTCAATCACTCACTCACTCTCTCTCAGCTAAACTCTCCCTCTGCCTTCACTTTTACTTTACCTCTCTCTCCTTGCTCTCTTTATTCTTGTCCCTGTCAATTAAGCTTCTCCATCTTAGTCTTCTCTTTCACACACACACACACACACACTTTCTTTTGTGGTATGGAGTAAGTTATGACAGTTCCTAGCCTGGGAGTGAAGGTCATACTTATAGGCCTAATAATTTACACACACACACACACACACACACACACACACACACACACACACACACACACACTCTCACTCTCACACACACTCTCACTCACACACACACTCACACACACTCTCACTCTCATACACACTCTCACTCACACACACACTCTCACTCACACTCACACACTCGCTCACACACACACTCACACACACACTCTCACTCACACACACACTCTCACTCACACACACACTCTCACTCACACACACACTCTCACTCACACACACACTCTCACTCACACACACACTCTCACTCACACACACACTCTCACTCACACACATACTGAACATGTACTGCCTTAACTTCTCATTACTGATGGTAAATGCACACTTGACTTGCATGTCAGTAAACAGAACTGCCTCTTAAATATTGACTTCACTCATGTGAGTAATCACTGAGGCTACAAAATGGGAAACAATCTATGGCTACAAACTAAAATAGTCACAACACAAAAGCACTCACTCACTTTTGGAAGGTTAAGCATTCCTTAAAAGTGTATCTAAGTCTAATTTTCAAAAAATATGAAATAGTTTCTGACAAACATGAACAAGCAAAATAACATGTGTACTGTCTGACACTGTTTCTAAAATATTTGAATGTGTTTATGGCTTTTTGCAAAACAAAGGCATCAAATATCATTGATAACAGATCTGTGACTGTCTAACAAATATTAAATCATGATAATTCCTTTGGTTTAAACACACTCAATTATTAGCAATCTCAAACAGTAAACAATGGTAGGATCTCATTTGTAAACTATATGGGTAGAGACACTATTCATATGTATATATAATAATAATTTGGCAAGTTGATGAACAACATGGGCAAGTACCTGTCTTTTCCGATGTTTTTGGTGTGTCCAGCTCCTATGGGGGTGTGGGAGGTAAGAGACAGTAAAACTGTTAGAATAAACACAGCATTACAAAGAGACATCAGCGGTGGTGGGTCGGCACACTTTAGAGGCTTGGGGAATTATCCAATGATTTTATCCACCTAACTGCCAGATGATGGGACTCGGGCACAGGTGAGGAGGAGATTCCTGTGCGGAATTGAAGGTTGATTGCACTTTACCTGGTTCTTTTTAAGTAAATATCAATATACTTTTTTTTTTTTTACTCACACACACACTCTCACTCACACACACACTCTCACTCACACATACACTCTCACTCACACACACACTCACACACTCGCTCACACACACACTCACACACTCGCTCACACACACACTCACTCACTCACACTCTCTGTGTGCAAGTATTTACATGAAGTTTCCCATTATTGTGAAACTGTAATAACTTACAAAATTTATTTAAATGAGAATAAGTGATGTCAATCCTTTGGCAAAAAGTATAGAAACAATACAAATATCAAAACAAAAACTTTGAATGTAAAAGAGAACACTGATTTCATCAAGTAACTCAATTATTTCACTTTATAATACATCTAACATCACAAATCAAAAATGTTCTCATATGTCAATGAGCTGATCCTACAGTAATCACATCTGCATTTTCTACATCTACAAAAAATGGTTTGAGGCACAACACACACAGAGAAGACAACATGCATGGCTGGGAACACCAACAGAACTCACGGTTTGCTTCTGTGGCAAACTGGGTAAAGTGCTATACAGAGGGATTCACAATTCCTGACAATATAAATGGAACATGTACTGCCTTAACTTCTCATTACTGATGGTAAATGCACACTTGACTTGCATGTCAGTAAACAGAACTGCCTCTTAAATATTGACTTCACTCATGTGAGTAATCACTGAGGCTACAAAATGGGAAACAATCTATGGCTACAAACTAAAATAGTCACAACACAAAAGCACTCACTCACTTTTGGAAGGTTAAGCATTCCTTAAAAGTGTATCTAAGTCTAATTTTCAAAAAATATGAAATAGTTTCTGACAAACATGAACAAGCAAAATAACATGTGTACTGTCTGACACTGTTTCTAAAATATTTGAATGTGTTTATGGCTTTTTGCAAAACAAAGGCATCAAATATCATTGATAACAGATCTGTGATTGTCTAACAAATATTAAATCATGATAATTCCTTTGGTTTAAACACACTCAATTATTAGCAATCTCAAACAGTAAACAATGGTAGGATCTCATTTGTAAACTATATGGGTAGAGACACTATTCATATGTATATATAATAATAATTTGGCAAGTTGATGAACAAATGGGAATACCTGTCTTTTTCCGATGTTTTTTGGTGTGTCCAGCTTATGGGGTTGGGAGGTAAGAGACAGTAAAGTTAGAATAAACACAGCATTACAAAGAGACATCAGCGGTGTGGGTCGCACAACATTTAGAGGCTTGGGAATTATCAATGATTTTATCACCTAACTGCAGAGATGAGGACTCGGGCAGGGAGGAGGAGATCCTGTGCTGAATTTAAGGTTGGATTGCATTTACTGGTTCTTTAAGTAATATCAATATACTTCTTCTTTTTTTTTTAACCCCTCTTCAGCACTCAAAAAAGCTATTGTAGCTTACCTCACATTAGGATATATTTCATGGGATATAAAAGTATTTCAAAAATTATTCTAGCCATAAATACTATGTCTGTAAACTATGTAATGCATAAATTATAAATACAAAATTATATGCACACTCATTATATTGCAGTGAGAGGTGGAAGGGGGTGGGTGCAAGAGGTCAAGGGTCATGGAGTGTTCATGTCACCAGTGTGACAGTAACTGAGGTCTACCAAGGCGGACTGCTCAGTTGCAGTGGCTGGCCAACCTGCATCATTATTCGAGCATGAATCAAGAAAAAATAAAACTAAGAGACCTGCCCTACATGTTTTTATATCATAAGAGCTGCTGCAGAGAGGTTAAACAATGACTGCATATGGCAGTTCTTAAGATAATGTATTTTTTCCCCTTTACTTTTTACTTTTCTTTCTTTTAAGCCTTTTTTTCTGGGGGGGAAGGGGAGGGTCTCACAAAATATGATTTAAGATTAATCTCCTTATTCTTAAAAGCCATATAAATATTTTTCAGAGTCTCTTCTTGGGGAAAGACTGCACAAGAAAGCAAGCAAGCCTTGAATCGAGTGGGGTTCCTCTTCCTGGGTCATCACCTCTTTCTCTGACCTCTAAATTACACACACACATGCAATGTGGCCAATCTAGGATATAAATTATAAAGCATAAATTGGACGTAATTAATCATCATTCACTTAATTACTAGTAATCAAAGAAATTGTGGCCTACAACATAACATGATTTCAGACACATAAGCATGTATCTGCATACAAAGAATGAAAAGATTGAAAAAAAATATATAAAGAATTAAAACAGTAAATAAATCAACTCTAAAAGAAAGAGAAAATACATGCATTAACTACTATTTCTGACATGTGAGGTGAGAACAGCTGATGTACTCTATTGTTTGTATAAATTCTTCTTCAGTGACTGTATATCATCTTAACATATATCCCTAAAATGCAAAATCTAAATCACATGAAATCAAGAAATGAGTCACACTCCCTACATACTTTCTTTTTGGAAGACTCCTAACAATTATGTTTTAACTCTAAACTTATTTGCTTTGTAAAATAGCTATTTTCTATCTCTAGTCATTTGTTTTCTTAAAAATATTTTCTACCTTATCTTATCAATCTGATATTATGATAGAAAAAGAAAATAAAAATATGTTACTGCACGGAATGAATAAGAGTAAATATATACACTTCCTAATCTTAAAAATTACAGTTATCACCCTAGAATAGTAAAATAAAGAGGAGAAAAAAATAGCCCTCCCATTAATAATCAAACCCTGTCTTTTTACTATGCATTCTAAGCAAGGTGGTTAGCATAGGCATATCCAAGGTCTAGAATTAAGCCTTCATTAGAGCAATAGTGTTAAAGTGAGAATTCCAAGCCAACAAAATGCTTGTTAATGATGTATTTTGCAGGTAAAGGGTTAATGCAACTGGGGATATGATGGGCTAGAATTGTGAGAAGGCTTGGCAAAAGATTAAGATGGCAAATACCAGTCACTACAAAGCCAGCCGTGATAAGTGTCTTGCGTGGAAACCTTCTCACCTGCGTCAAATTCTACCGAGATGACCTTTTCAACTCATCTTTCCTTTACATAGCATGCACTTTACTATAAAGTGGAGATGAGTAGTAAAAAAAAAAAAAAAAATGACCAAGTTTTAAGAGGATACAAAATTTGAAAACTGGTAAAAGGGGGGGAAAAAAAATCATTGTAATAAAGCTTATCCTGGGAAATTGCAGAATTTCCACTTGATGTGTTGTTAATGGAGGTCTTTCCCTTTATCTTTCCTCTTGGTTTTCTCTCCCATTAGAGTAATATTTGGCCATTTTGACAAGCTATGTAAAAGAAGAAAAATGAGCATCTGTCACAAAGTTGCTGAATCCATCTGATTCATTCTTTCTCTCTCTATTCTTTCTCTTCCTCCTCTCATCATCACTTACTTAAGTAATAAAACAATAAATGATTCTTCACACAAAAAATGCAATACAACTTCTAAGAATCTAGTTGTACAGAACAAAAATAATTTATTCAATGAAAATTATCATGGACAACAGACTCTAAATTTTCAAACTAAAGATGACTAATATGTTTAAAAGTTGCACACAGATTTAAGAACAATTTTAACAAATGGTGTGGTCTTGGTTGTACCTACACATAATTCTTTTTCATGATGTATTTGCCTGGAGAATTTATTGAGGATCAAACAACACTAACCCATGCCAACAGTAGTATACTTGAAGAACATATAAGCCAAACCTACTTGTCATTACTTCCTACTATGAAATTTACAAAGCAATCTCGGTACATGAAGAGTCCCCACAAGATGCATGAAGCAGAACCAAAAGGGTGACAGGGAAGGCATGAGAGATGCCCAAATACCTGAGATGAATTCTTTGGGGGCCTGCTTCCTTTTGGAAGTGGATACCCTATACACGCAGAAGTCATTAATCCGCAGGACACAGCATGAGGACATGAGTTTCCGTAGCTGGGTTCCTACAACTCCTTTCAGGGGACTGGCTGGCCCAGTACTGGTGGCATCTCCTGGTGTTGTGCTCATGCGGCCACCAGGACTCTGTGTAAAGGAAAGAGTCAGTGCTAAATCATGCATGAGGTTCAATTGATTAGAAATTCAATGTATTTATTTCTATATTTCATCTATTTGTTTTTTATTGTGGCTGTTCAATCGCTATCTTGCTATATATCTGGTCTCAAAATGCAATACCTCCACTTGTATAAAATCTTTCAGTAAATATTTGTTAATTGACAGTTTTATTTATTCTATACAGAACTAGTATTTGTCTTCTCTTATACCTTTATAAATTATTTGTGTCCATCTTCATTTTACATACTGCAGAGTAAACAGTGTACACAACATTTCTAAAGCTTTCACCTGGCAAAAGCACATCAGATGCCTGTTTGGCTCATAAGTTTATCATTTTCAGATTTATTTGCTTTCCACTGTCACTATATTTTGGAATGCACAATATCAAGTAAACAATGCTCCTAAAATGTTATATCATCTCATATTCTATATTCACTGCCTGATTACAGGCCTATAGCAACCAGCAGCCAGCCAAAATTCCTGTAACAGTCAGTCATTTCTCTCTGCTAACTGAAGTGACTTCCACTCTACCCATGATTCTTACTAGCTCATATCCACCAATCCCAGCCAAGCATTGTGTTAACCCAGCTATCAGCAAATAGACTATAGTATTTGACCATATCTCCCTTGGCATACTCTCCACCTGGTTTTGGAAATAATGGATATCTTTTTCCTATGTTCAGATGTAAGTGCTGACCATCTCAAGTTGTGGCAGTGATGAAACCTTAACCTTTTTTGTCTATTTCTTCTGTTTCAGGGCCAGAATACAGGCTGCTTCTGGGTCAGTAAGTAACTCTGGAGTATCACAATCACAGAAAGGTAATGGTAGATAGCAATCAGTGGGCTGTGGATTGTATTCCCTCAAATACCATCCCAAAAACCTGCCCAAAGCCTGTGACCTTGGTTTCATGAAATCAACAAGAGCTGACCCAAATCTATAATCCTCAGTAATTTATGTCTGATGCCTAAGATAACCAATAGAAGTATTATAAAATAGTAAATATCTTAATCGCACACTAAACGTTATCATTAAAACTGTACATAATATCCTGTATGGTTTTCTCAACACATATATATCAGGTCTATCAACATTCTCGTGGTTATCAGTATTTGAAAATGACTGAAAGCACAAATGTTCTTTAAATTTTTGTGTTGCATCGAGTTATCTAGCTTGCCCTTTCCTAGGTTCATTTGTGGAAAACCCATGACCATACTAGACGAAGCACAACAACTCAATTCCAATGATAATAATATTAATAATTTATTACCTGCAGAGAGCTGTCATGACGTGCATGAGGAGGGGCTCGAGACAAAGGAGTGTGTGACGACCGACTAGAGTTGAGGGTATCTATAAGTCGCGTTCTGAACTGTGCAAGGGATGCCTGTGCCCACTGGGCTGGTCCACAGTCTGCTAAGTATCTGTGAAAAAATATATTCAAGATTTGTATCTTGGTACACACAAGCAGAGACATAAACTAAGGATAATGCAACTTCACACAGATAGATAGATATATACTTGGCTGAGTAAGTATACTATATCCTGGGGAAAGGGGTACTGAGGGTATATGTAACCCTTTAACATTTTGTACAGTCCACTGTGAATTTTGTTACACACAGATAGCTCCACAAGCACTCACCCACCAACGAATCAGTTGAAAGTCCCTTGTAATTTCATGATATTTTTGAAAAATACTATTAAAACCCATATTGTTATTACTATTACCATGTTTATCATAATATTATTAAATTACTATTAGCAATAACAAACATGAGAATATATTTTTTTTAAATCAAGGAAAAGGGTAAACTGGGGACATAGATAACAGTCTTTTGGAGTTATCTATTTGTAAACACAATCACTAAAGTAAAATCAAAATGGATATGGCATGTATATACTGAAATCCTAGCAAATAGGGTTAAAACTATGAATTACAGTTTACACAGTATTTAATGTTGAACACTTCACTGATGACTTATATCATACAAACACAAAAGTTAATAATTCAACCATACTAACAGCAGGAGATAGGCACTACAGATGCTTACTCTCTGAATAAAAGGACCTCATTCATGGATACTTACTTGACCCAGTGTCCTCTGTCGCCTGCCGCAAGATGGTACGGGTAGAAGTCAATTTCAAGTTGGCTGATGGTGAACTGGAGAGCTGCTCCGGCCGACAGATCAGGGTGACTGGACCTTCCCGCTGTAAAATGTGGCAGTGGTTTGTGTTTAAAATAAGAATATGGGACATAAAACAGCTACTAATATTTGAAGCATGAGTAAAATTCAGACAATGGTTTTCTATAAGTCTTCCTTACTCCCTATCTTACTTCCCATAGTATGACCCAATGCAGTCTCAACCTCCCTCTGTGATTCAGCCCAAAATTCCTTGTAAAAGCAGCCCTAATTCTCTAAAACTATATGCCCCTATTTACCGACTTTGGATTTGAGTAGCTGCTGTGAACTGATCTTGGTGGAAAATGATTTTGTAATCATGAGCCAAATTTATAGAAATTACAGATTCTGAGACTTCTTTCACAGCAAGTACACAAAGGCAAAAGATGCTAGGGATGAAAATGACCAAGGTAATGATAGCTATTAATATTCTTATCATTAACAATACTAAGAATCAATTCTAACACAATATAACAATAGCTAATTTTAAAACAGTATCACTCAATAAGACCCTTTGAAAATTGCTATTCATTATAATAGTTTCTAGTCTTTGAGAATACTCAACAATTAAACCACACTTTTTCTTTATAATGCTCCTATACAATGGCCTGCAGTTTTCTTAAAGAAAGAAAAAGAAAAATATAAATAAATAAATAATTGCCAGGATGAAAGGAAGTGCTAGTTCATGTCTTGTACTTCTGTTTTCATTCCTTCTAAAAAAAATACTTAAACTCTCAAAGGACTTGACCTGTCAACCTTCTCAAGTACAGAGAATCCAGCAGAACATGCTCAAACAATAAAAACGATGGCAATTTCTCATGTCTCCTATAAACTCCAATATATTAACTTCACATGATTCAAAAGTTCCACTGCTTTCAATAAATACTAAATGTTAAATCCCATGCACATGCCCTACAATTTTCTTCTGCATTTGTTTGGTAAATCAAACCAGCAATAATGATCCCACTCCCTATTCCTCATTCCTCAAGCCTCGATAACTGATACCTTCTTTGTTACAATAATAGCAGAAAGAGGGAGAAAGACAGAAAGAAAGAATGGCAAAAAGAAAGAAAAGAAGAAAGAAAGAAAGAAAAAAAGAACGTAAACCTGTTGGATCCAGGTGGCGTGGACTTCTTGTCATGTAAAAATTTGGTCAAGGCGTGGGTGACAGGAATATCTCATAAGATATTGTCAAGAGTCAGGTGCTAAAGGCATTTCATTAAAGGTGCACAAAGCACTTGGAGTGAGACTGACTCAACAGGCTTTCAAGAAGAGGCTCTTTTGTCAGCTCCAGCAGGATTTGCACCAGTTCATGAGAATGAAATTTACCACCCGTCAACCATACCTGGGAGAGGACTGTCTCCCAGGAAGAACATAGTCCTGTCTGCCATTACCAGCAGTGTAAGGCGTGTAAACTAACTGGAGAGATAACATGGAGTCTGTTAACGAAAACAGTCCATTATCATCTTCATACAATGTGACAAATGACAAATATTGAATAGATCCTGGAAAATGGCAAAACAAAAAAAAATGTGTCTGCACAAAAAGGACTAACAGCATTGCAAAGAAGAGGCAAGAAATCTTAATACCCTGTGTAAGTGTTCATGAGGACTGGGCCTGGAAGCCACACTCCTGTAAGTGTCGCCACTCAAGGAAGCCTAATGCACGGATTTTGGTCACAAGAGGCACTCAGATCCAACGGGTTAGTTAACTGACGGCACCAGTAATGGATATGTTCAAGCTGGCATGGCAGACCATACTGGCTCTGTTTTTGTTCTATATGGATAATCAATATTGTAATATCTTGTGGGACATTAAAAGAATAATGGTTGCTAGATAATTATAACCCTTAATCATTTAAGATTACTACTACTAAAGAAGAAAAGGCTGTTTTCCAAGAATAATATGATAATGCAGTCTCTTCAGTCTAGTACTGATTATCACTAATCAAGGTCTTAATAAAAACATCATGACCATCAAGCACTTGCAAACAGCAAAGCAGAGCTTTGTTGTGGTCCTGTTCACTTTGTGGTCCAAAACATATGTATCTTTTCTCCTTCTGGCATAACTTGGTTCCCTTCTCCTTGAAACAAAGCTGAAAACCTATAAATGATACTGATTTAAGTCATGTAATAAAAACACTCCAGGGCATTTACTATTTACAAGAGGATACTGTTTAGAATGCTAATGAAACTGGTATACTAAAGACGGATATATATAAAATGCAACCTATATATCAATATAGGTTTCTATTCTAAATACTCAAAGTCAGTATGAGATTATTCTAATAATTCAGAAATGCTCTTTACAACTAAATTTCACTCACTCTGGATATGGATATATGGATACCAATGCGGTCTACAGAAATTACTTTACATACTGCACTGAATTTATCTTAAAACTATGAACTGATTAATTATGACATATAATTCACAAACCAACTGAGAAATTTACTCTAAGCTAATGTCACATGGTAGTATAAGAATTGTTTAGAATACTCTTTAAACAACTGAATCCTGCAATCTGAAGATTTTTTTTATTTTGCTTACAGTTTAAATTCTCTTCCTATCCTTGTTTTAACACTATAAGGGGTCACCACATTCTCTCAATACGGGAGAAAGCCTTTTAAGCAAAAAATGCCTCATTTATGCAAATTGATGAAACAGAATATGAAAATTCTAGAACTGCTTGGTAAGAGTATACAATAAATCCCTGCTATACAAAGGAATTGATTGATGAGACAAAGGAAAAGGTAAATGCATTCTTGGGTGGTAGTGGTAGGGGGGGTGGGGCATTTATAAAAGACTAAATACAAAAATCACCTTAATATGTATATATAAATATCTATACATAAGGCTATCTATTTATCTATTTCATAAGTTTTCAGACTCTATGTATATGATGAAACAAGGATATCTGTTGTTTTTTGTTATAGGAAAATAAAAAATCTTAAATATAAAATTACTGGAGTAAGCTGTATCTATGGTCCAATGATCTGTAATATAAAGCTTCCTAATTGCATAATTTCCACTGCACATGATCTCAACTTGTGTTCTGTATTAATTGATGCATAATGCTGGGAGAAAATACAGTGCTACAGACTGGTAAGCTTTGTCTCACTATCACTGTTCAGGGGAAAAAAAAAATCCTAATATAAAAAAATATAGATATTTATACATAAATATTTGAGATAATCTTTATTTTATGTACTGCCTTGTAATCTAATATCATTATCAAAATGCACTTTCTTTTTCTCTCACTACCAAAATGTGTTAAGAAAGTAATAAACATACTCAGAGGTAGCATCATGCAAGAGATTTGATCAATTATGAAAATAACATGTGCACAGCAGATTTATGATTCATTCCATCATAGTTCATAGCCTTCATTTTTTTTTTTAACAAAATGCTTGTAGTTCATTATATGATATCTAACTATAGTAACTGCATGGGAATTCTATAATTCATTCTAATAAGGGCTTTCAAAGTTATTAAAAATTTACTATTCCCTCAAACCTTTTCCTTAAATATACATTCATAAAATCAACTAAACTTTTCCTCTTAGAGTATGAGACCAAGATACTTGCTTGGACCATTAACTAGACAAACCAAAACACAGCTAGTTACCAATCACTGCACAAAAACCTCACCTTAAGAGAGGGAGTTCAATGTTTATGCATATATATGGGGAGAATTTACTTAGTCTTGGGATCTACATGCCTGATTTCAGTCCAGTAACTTCAACTACTGAGTGGAAGGGAAAGCACTTAACAACTCCCTAGAGAACCACCTAATTCCTCATGTATAAATACTAAACCATATATACTAGGTATATACATTATGCTATATACCACCAAATGCTGTGATAATTTGAAGCAAATACCCCACTCTTGCACTGTCTCTACCAATATACTGTAATACTAAGTTTCTTACGGCCTAACACAAAATGAAAAAATATTTAAAAACCAAAATAAAATTAAATAATAATAATAATAATAATAAAAAAAAAAATTGATGAGAACAAGATTGTCGATAATATGTATGCTGAGGAAGCGGCACCAGTGTCTGTGGATCTAAGAATCTAAAAAGGTAAAACTGCTCGAAATACAAGACTTTCTCTGTGGGAGTCTTCATGCAAGGGCTTTGTTCTCTCGCTCTCTCTCTCGTTCGCTCTCTCTACTATCTTAAGCCTTTAGGGATTGTCTTACCTCCTTCGTTATTCAAGGAGCATGAACAAAGGAAAATTTTGCAGTGGTTTTAGACAGATACATATTCACTTTGCTAATTTTAGTTGTAAACATTAATAAACATATATACATATATATATATATATATATATATATATCTCTATCTCTCTCTCTCTCTCCTCTCTCTCTCTCTCTCTCCTCTCTCTCTCTCTCTCTCTCTCTCCTCTCTCTCTCTCTCTCTCTCTCTCTCCTCTCTCTCTCTCTCCTCTCTCTCTCTCTCTCTCTCTCCTCTCTCTCTCTCTCTCCTCTCTCTCTCTCTCTCTCTCTCTTCTCTCTCTCTCTCTCTCTCTCTCTCCTCTCTCTCTCTCTCTTCTCTCTCTCTCTCTCTCTCTCTCTCCTCTCTCTCTCTCTCTCTCTCTCTCTCTCTCTCTCCTCTCTCTCTCTCTCTCTCCTCTCTCTCTCTCTCTCTCTGTCTCTCTCTCTCTCTCTCCTCTCTCTCTCTCTCTCTATCTCTCTCTCTCTCTCTCTCTCTCTCCTCTCTCTCTCTCTCTCTCTCTCTCCTCTCTCTCTCTCTCTCTATCTCTCTCTCTCTCTCCTCTCTCTCTCTCTCCTCTCTCTCTCTCTCCTCTCTCTCTCTCTCTTCTCTCTCTTCTCTCTCTCTCTCTCTTCTCTCTCTCTCTCTCTCTGTCTCTCTCTCTCTCCTCTCTCTCTCTCTCGCTCTCTCTCTCTCTCTCTCTCTCTCTCCTCTCTCTCTCTCCTCTCTCTCTCTCTTCTCTCTCTTCTCTCTCTCTCTCTCTCTGTCTCTCTCTCTCTCTCTCTCTCCTCTCTCTCTCTCCTCTCTC